AGAGTTCCGATAGGAATTCTGAAAAATATCACAAGGTATAAGACGTAGGTAAAAAATGAGAAAGATCAAAATAGGAAACTAAGATGCAGCATAGTAAATCTTTCTTATGAACAGAGTTGTCATGTAAATGGAATCGCCTGTGGAAGATGGGCAAGAAATCTAACTGAATATACATCAACAGTTTGGCTGGGTACAAGAGAAGGCTTTCTAATAGAGCACAAAAGGTACTGTAGCATGTCCTTCAATGAATGCTTTTACTAGAAGTTTAGATAGTATTTGGAAATAGTCTAGATGCACGTGACTAAGTAACATTTTAATAAGAAATAAGAAACAAGTTTTAGTCACCTATTTACTTAGTGATGCAGATAAGGCAAAATTATTCAACAAATTGGAAGTGCTTTACCTGATATGGATGCAATCTGGGCTTTTGCTAAATCTCTCTCCTTCTTTGCTTGTCCCAAGTCTACCTCAAGAGCTTGCTTATCTTGTTTGAGACTTCTTATCTCTCCTTGTAATTTAGTTTCTTCCTTCTGTGTTTTAGAGAAAACAGTAAGAAATTAAAAAATAAGCAATCGTTGTCATACAAAAAATATGAACATGCTTTTTCAATGTAAAACGTGTCCATCAGAACACAGCAGCAATGAGGTTTTCTAGCTTTGGTATTATTCTCAGGCCTTGCTATAGCAGAGCGCGCATGCACTCTCTGTTCTGTTTGTTATGTGTGATCACTAGCAAACTTCAAGACTAAGTAGGATGAAAGATCTCAGTGCCACCTCTGGAGATGGAGGCCTTTGGTCCTAGGGATCCACAGGCATAGGAAGCAGCAACTATGAGACTGAGATTTTGGGGCCAGCCAGTAAATACACCAAGTGTCTAGGGCCAGCAAGGGCCAGCATGTGCACCTATGTGTGTTACTGCTAGTGAACTCCTATCCTGATCTGCTGAACAGGATAAAGCCACATGTGATCCTTGTGTTTCCAGCAGTATTGTTTGCACAACTCCAGGCACAGCTACAGGCTGGG